AAAAATATAAACCAGATTTCATATAAAAATTAAATGCCAAGGGTTGGAACTGAAAAAAATAAAATAAAATTTGATACAATAAAAAGAATGAGGACTCTAAAAAAACAACATCACAAAACGATTTGAGTGAACCCTGGTAAACTAGCTGAATCTATAACCTAAGACATGAAGTTGAAACAAATCCATAGAAAGGAAAGTAAAAAAATAACGAATGAAAATCCTCGACCAACACAATTTTCAAGGATAAAATTGAAAGAATAATAATTTTAAAAAACAGGACAAAAAAGACTGCATTCAAATCGGTCTAAACTCATGAGATCAGATTGAACCATAAAAGGCAAACCTAAAAAAACCATGAAGCTAAATTTTCAGTCTACCAAAATTATTTATGAGGGGTAAAGCTAAAAAAAAGGAACAAAAAAATAGAATTGAAAAGAATGAGAATCAAAATTAATATAAAAAGAAAATAAAATTAAATCATGAGAGATGAAATTGAAAAAAAAATCAATAGAGAAAAGTATAAGAAAAAACAAAAAAAAAATCAAAAGAATGAGAACCAATTTTGATATAAAAACCAACTATCACAGGAAAAAATTAAAAAATAAATAAATCAGATTTGATACAATCAGAAGAATGAGGACTAAATGTGATAAAATTAACAAATAAACACATTTATTTTATTTTTACAAAGGCAACGTGTTTTTCAAGGTTAAAAAGAAAGAAAATAAAAAAGATGAAAAAAAGATTATAGGAGCTTTATCATGTAAAGGGTGACTATATGCACTATACCACTGTGAAGAGAGTGACGAAATACATCAAACACCTTCTCAAAATGTGGTATTCGGTTATCGGGATGACACTACACGCACCGCATAAAGAGTGTGAGTTTTGCGCATACCAACAACTTTTTTATTTAGAATAATATTATATTTCAATTAAAAGACTTAAATGCCTCTACACTAATTATCTTATTACAAAAAAAATGCATACCAACAACTTTTAAAGAGTGTGAGTTCTACACTAATTATCTTATTACAAAAAAAAAAAACCCTATATAAAAGGACAAAAACACCATTGACCTTAACCTCAAAATTTTTTAATTCTAAAAGTGATTTGGCTATTTTTAAAAAAACTTTGAAATGCCTGAAAATCCTTTCACTCCTTCGTTTAACTAAATTAACTTTTAAGGATAGTTTAATAATTTTACTATGCAGTTACAAAACAAAAGATCCTACTTATCCTTATAAATTTTGAATTATCGATTTAATAATATAAAAAAATTATTTTACTTCTCAAACTAAGTTATAAGCTGTGTTTTATCAAGGGCAAAAAGATATTTTCACTATGCTGATCCATATTAAAATTAAAAAGAAATTAGTTTTAGGTTTTTTTAATAATTATAATAATAACAGTGAAGTTTTATTTTATTTTATTTCATGTATTGATCAATTAAAAACATTAATTTAGCCACTTGATTGGGGGTTTATATATTCATGAGAAGAGAGAGAAATAAAGATTGAAAAGAAAGAAATTAGATATAAAAAGAGAGATTATGACATGTTGTTTGTAGAGTTTTTTGATATATTATATATTGGTTATTTTATTCAAATTAAGAAATTTTTATTCCATAATATAAAATGTAATTAAAAAAATATAAACAAAGTAATAATAAAATAAATAAACTACAAGATATTAATGTAATTAACCCTTCATTAAATTAAATTATTTATTTTGAGTGTAATAAAGAGAATTTTCTTTATGGGAAGTCAAAAAAGGTAATGGCTAACATTAATTTGATATATCACAGGCTATCACAATATACACGAAGAGTTGTTTGTCTTAATGAAATTGGGCTCCTAACCTTCCAAAATATAAATAATAAAAATTGTACCAAAGCATATGAAAAATCAATTATTTTTTTTAAAAAAAATCAAACTCAAAAAACCAAATTTTTTTAAAAAAAAATTCAAACTCAAAATAATGAAATCTATTCAAACCAATTTAACTTGATTTTTCAGTTTAACTTAGTTTTTTTAGTTTAACTCAATTTTTTTATTTGGTTATAATTCAATATGATTTTTTTAATTTTAGGTTTATAAAATTAAAACTGAATTAAACTGATTAATTTTTTAAAATTTTAATCAGTTTAATTAAAAAAAATTGCAATTTAATTTTTTAATTGTTTTTTTTATTTTTCTCAATTTAATCAGTTTTTAAAAAAAAATTTCTCAGCCTTAAAAGGAACATTTAGCCTGTGGCCTTTTTTTTTTTGCTCACCCTTAAAAGGAACATTTAGCCTGTGGCCTTCATCAAACAATAGAGTAATTAAAAGCTATTTATGATATATTAGCAAATCTGCTCGATTTTTTAACAGCATTCCATGTCTTGTCGAATTTACCCCACCAAATTCTAGCATTATGTCATATTCAGCCAGTCACATTTCATTTCAGAACCTACTGAGAAGCATCAAGTAAAATCCTCTAACAGGTGTCCCTCATCCATCTTTTCATAACATCCTGATAATTTTGCTCATCACAACGTAGAATTTACCTATACAGTGATTTTATGGTGTTGGAACCACGTAGGACAAAAGGGCAAAAGAAAACTGGCAAGCAAATGCAGCAATTGTTGTAGTGGGATCATCTCATACCACCGCATAAAACACCATAAATAAATATCAAGTCACCCACTGCAGCGGCTACAACATCTAGTTAGCTCAACTGTGGTATCCCCACCAGCAGCATGTCCCTGGACTGCTAACAACAGATTTGGTCTCGCAGCAAACTCCTGCTGCAGTAGCCAACACTATATGTGGGAAAACATGGGGTTATAGTTAGAATACTAGGTAGAATCATTTATTGACACAATATAGTAATTACACAGTAATAAATTTAGAAGGTGTTTAGGAGTGTGATGACAGTTCTTTTCAAAGTGCTTTTAGCTAAAAAACACATCAATTTTTTTTTTTCAATTTATTTTTGACAATAGCATATCAGAATAATTCGAAAACATAAAAAAACAAAAACTAAGAAAAAAAATTGAGTTTTGGCCAGCCCCTGTTTGGCACCAGCCTCTGTTTGGGCAGCACTGCCAAACAGGGGCACAATCTAACAAGTAGCAACAAGATCACTGGAACTGGATTGGTTTCCACTCCACACTAACGGCTAAATGAAAATGATAATGGCTAAATGAAAATGATAATGATGTTGGATGCGACGTTATTAGATGCAAACAGTGCAGAAAAAGGGACAAAAAAACCATAAAACCTTGCAATATCAGCTGCAAGAGTTTTGCATCCTTGTAGGACCACATAGCACTCAGATAAATAAAATCTCTCTCATAGTTGCATGTACACCATGAAACCAGTTGAATCAGGTATCTACCAGAAAAGCAGACAATTTCAACAACCTAGGCTGACTAAACGGCTAAATATTTGCAGGCTGTGTTATGTTTTTGAGCAATGTGTCTAAAACCATCTCTAAAAAAACCATAGGTAAAAGTCCTAAAGATTGCAAACTCAGGATTTACCTGCAACACTTGATGAATCTTCCACCATGCAATCACACTGATCAAAAGAATTTCAGATAAAAGAATGGAACTCAATTGACTAATGACTAAAGCATATGACAAGTTTCCATGCCCTCAAGTCCCCACAACTGACCACGAACCTTATTATGGAGGGAAGAAAGTAAAACAAAATGAATTTTCAGAGTCCAGATACATGGAGCCTTGCATTTGCAAAGGCTTAAATTGCAACATTGAGGAGCGATTAGCCTTTATGGAAAGTAGCAAGTAAATTAAGACGAAATATATTCAAGCAAAAAGACCTGCTGCTGCATGTTGATATCTTGGAGACGGAGAGACACGAGGAGGAGCAATTGCCCATTCCCAACAAGCATCCCTGTGTAAACAAGTCCATACTCGCAAGTGGCTGAAAAAGTTGAGGCAATGAAACAAGCAACACATATTTTAGTCGATCCCTGCCAAAGCTGTCAGAAATTTTTTGAAACAGAGTAATTGACTATGTTCTTCCCAGAAAGGAAAATTTCAAAACGAAATGAAGATTAGGAAGGAAAGTACCATGATTTCAAAATTATAAATTCCTTTACTAAAAATACAATTATTGATTTACAACGTGTGCTGAGAAGATAGAATTACATACATATTTTAGTTGATTCCTGCCAAAGATGATTAGGTGGTTAAGATAAATTCCAAGCAATTAAAGAACAAATTTGTGAGACCACACTGATCAAAAGAATTTCAGATAAAAGAATGGAACTCAATTGACTAATGACTAAAGCATATGACAAGTTTCCATGCCCTCAAGTCCCCACAACTGACCACGAACCATATTATGGAGGGAAGAAAGTAAAACAAAATGAATTTTCATTTTTGCCTTCAATTGGTTAGGAAACCTAGTTCTCCAAAATTCATCTCCTACACTTTCACATTTAGCGTTTCCAGGTTGGGTTATCTAAATTAATAAAATAAACATCCACTAATCATTCTAGTGTAGTTTTACAAAGTTTTATACACATACTCGCAAGCAGACAATCAGCTCAACCCAGAATCGAGGCAGTTAAGAACTAGACAAATCAGCAACACAAGCAACAGAGAATCAATTGGAACCAGAAGCAGATACAGTTACCAACAAAAGAGACCAAAACACATCAGATAACTATGGATTCCAGAAAACAATAGCCGATCAAAAAAACACAAGAAACCATATCCAAAGGAGCACGACGAAGACTAAGAACATGACCGACACAAAAGCCCAAGGGAAAACCAAAATAATTCCATCTTCAAAACAAGAGAAAATATCCTGACCATGGCCAAACTGAATTCCACAACTTGCAAATAAAATTCCTCACCACCGCAAAACCAGGATTCACGCATTTGACAATGATCAAGGCATGTCAAAACGATACTTGCAGGTGGGCAAATCCAGGTGAATCCAAAGCAATACTGTATATTATATAAATAGTTAGCTGGAATTAAAATACAAATAAACATGGCTGGTGTTAAGTTTACAGCAGTAAACCACTGTCAAAAAATACAATGAACCCAAGTCCTTTTAATTTTGAGTTTCACCTTCCTATATGCTCTTTCATATATTAATTAAGATAACTAGTGAAAACAGGAATCAAAAGAGTTAACAAGCCACTTCATAGAGCACTATATGTAGCCTTCATCTCCTACTGTACAAACTTGGCAAGCCTAATAAATAAATAAAATGTACAGAAGACTGAACAAAGCTATTGTGATCATGAACATATGCAAGACAGTGAATAGCCTTTGCTGAAAGTTTATTTCCCTATGAAAACTTAGGTGATGATTAATAGCACTGATTAAACTGGAAATAAAGCACTTGATAATCTCGTATATTTGAGTGTCCTGCATTCAAACCAGGATAACTACTCTGAAGGATGAAGGACACTGCAATTGGCACAACACCAAAGTTTATTTCCCCATGAAAACCCAGGTGATGACTAATAGCACTAATTAAACTGGGAAAAAGCACTCAATGATCTAGTATATTTGTGCGTCCTGCCTTAGAACCAGGATAAATACTCTGAAGGATGGACACTGCAATTGGCACAATACCAATAAGTGCAGCTTGCAGTTCTGAGCTGCTTGTCTTGATGGAGATCTGGCCACTTCGCTTATTGTTCATTCCAACATGGACAGCCATTTTGGAATTCCAACCAATGGAGAATTGAGACTGTAAATGGGCCATCAGACCTAAATCACCCCTCCACTTCATCAAGGACAGGCCTAACGTGGATTGGTCCTGCTCTATAGGAAAATCTTTACTCTTGAGCCGCACTTCAAAGTTGGCTCCATAGGCAGTATCGTTACCTGATCTCACAGTGCCAGCATTTCCCACCAAAGCCAAGCGCTTTCCAACTGCAATCTGATCCTCAATCTTGAATCCAGTGACTACATTTTCACCTAGTAGAGTAACAGATATCCCGGCTGATGATTTGTTCATCTTAAACTTTTTGAGTTTGGTCTCACTTCGCAAGATATAAGCAAGCTGCCTTCCAATAGTCTGGATGTCAAATCCCACCATAGTCGATCCATTTTCTCCATGCTTAGCGCAAATTGAAGAATCTAATTGGATATTGAAGTCCTTCTTATCTTTTGTGATTTGAACAGTAAAAGCACCAGGAAACCGACCAGCAATAGCAAGATTACTTTCGATGTTAACACCATCATATCCGCAATCATGATCCCAGCCCTGGGCATCCAAAACTGGCCTGACAAGAAACTGTGATGCAGGCTCCAAAGCTCGGTACCTGTATGAAGGATTGTCACTGTCAAACGATTGTGGAAGGACAAAGTCAGGCAGAGGCACAGGCACTGGTGCTGGACCTTCATCTTCCTGGTCCACATCTTCCCCAATGTCATTACTGCAATCTTTGCCTCTCTTCTTTATCTCCTTCAGCCTTTTCAAATTGTCTCTCCACTGCTTCTTTTGAAGGAGTTTCACCCGATAATCATACTCCTCAAAATAAGCTTTCTTTTGCTCTTTGCTGAGCTTCTGAACCTGAGATTTCCTCAAAGGCTTGAATGGTGGAAGCTGGTCATATTCATCCTCATCTTCTGCATCCGAATCAGGGAGGTCAACCAAGTCCATGTCTGAATCAATGTCCTCATCAACCAGATCAGTAGGGAGTTTTAGATGAGGGCGAGAATGCAACAGAGAAGACACGAGGTGGGGTAGAGGTAAAGAGCGGAGCCGTAAACCAAAAGGCTTCTTATGGTCAATAAGATCTTGAGGCTTGGATATAGAACTTGCCTCAGACAAAACCTTCAGTGAGTAACACAGCAGTAACAATTGGGGTCTCCAGCTTTGTCCATTAGGGAGGACATTTTCTCCGTTCTCGTTCTTCTGGCACAAAGAATGATTCTCAACAAGAGACACCGGATGCTTCATACTCGGATGCATCAGGTACGAATCACCAACTGCTTGGCTGATTGCTTGCTGGATAACATGAGATCGTTGAGCAACATACACCTCAAAAGCTAGGGATGACCCAGATGGTCCATCAGGTGGAGGAGAAGTGGCATGCGTCAGAGTGACAATTGCATTTTTCCATATTGATGAAGTTAGAGTTCTGGAAAGCGAACTTAACAACAGCAAATCATTGCGATCTCTATCATGGGTGTCTAACCGGTCAACATAGAGGACAACATCTGGAGGAAACTTGTTAATCAGCTTTTTTACAGATGCTAGTATTTTCCGGTTGGTAGCCTCTTCCTTTACAGAGGACCTGAGACCTGGTGTGTCGATGATTCTGATTTTAACTCCATCAACTGTTCCAACAAGCTCATTAACCCTAGTTGTGGCAGGTGCAAACGCATTGATCTCAACTCTCTTCTCACCAAAAATAGAATTAATGGTGGCACTCTTCCCCACTCCAGTTTTCCCGAGAACCAAAATGTTCACAGAGAAGTTTAAATCATCTTTGCCCTCTGCTTCAAGCTGCATGGCCATACTCTTAGCAGTTTCAAGGCTAAACTCTCGACTGACACGTCTCCCTTCATCTGGGTCCAGCCGATGTAGCACTGATTCAACTATAGAATCTTCAGGAGACTGTCCTAGTCGCTGGACAAGCCTCAAGAACTTCACCCTTAAGTGCTGTATCTTCTCTAAAATCTTCTTTTCTTCTTCACTTAAAGTACGCTTTACCATATCTGGTGGGGGAGCATGTCTCCTTGTGCGAAACTGGAAACCTGAACCAGCAGGATTTTCAAGAGAAAATAATCCAGAACCATCAACAGAGCTTAGTGCTATTCTGCCTCCATCCAATTCAGCACCAGTTGCTGCTTTTAAAAGAGCAGCAAATGCAGCAGAATCAAATAGCTGTTTTCCTACTGGATCTCTAACCACGTCTGCTTCTTCATCTGAGTCTGTATCTTCATCTGAGTCCATAGTAATCTCTCCATCTATCGTCTGCGGATGATCATGATAAGCTTCAATACCTGGGGTGGAAGAGAAGGGTGAATTTTGCTCTAATTCATTCATGATGAGCTTGGTTGTTCCAGAGCCACCAAAAATTAACTCTTCAATGTCATCATCAGAAAGTAAGCCTTTTTGTCCTCCTATTGTTTCTGAATCACGGTTCGCTTCATCTTTGATACCAGAGGAATTTGTATTGCTTTCTCGCACATCTTCCATTTGATCACCTTCGAAGTTTTCAGGAGAAAGTAAGCCTTTTTGTCCTCCTTTTGTTTCTGAATCACCGTTTGCTTCATCTTTGATACCAGAGGAATTTGTATTGCTTTCTCGCACATCTTCCATTTTATCACCTTCGGAGTTTTCTGGAGAATCACCATTCACCCACAAGTTCGTGGGATGAGTAACTGTGACAACATGACCATTGTCCTCGACCAATTTAACTGAACCAGAGTCATTAGCAGAACCATTTGTCACAACAGCATCTTTAGGACCCAAAACACAACTATCAGCTCCAAAATCCCTCTCCGTTGACAGACTAGATTTGTTGTCATCAAAAGAAGAATTACTCTGAACCAATAACCCATCTTCTTTATCTTCTTCAATATCCAGCACCTTAACTAGAGGTGCAACATCCACAATCTCTTGAGCCCCAAAACTAGGAACTTTGACAACACCTGAAAAGCTTCCATAGTCCACTTCACTCACCATTCCCTCATCACCAGTCACCTTATCAAATTCATCATCATCCATTGACAACTGTGCAATAGGCCTAACTCCATTCGAATTCGCACTGCCCAACCCAACAACAGGGATAAATTCATCAGTTACACCACTCTCCTCCTCCTCTACCTCCTCAAGAACTGAATTTTCTTCATCTGGGTCAGCCACAAAAGGCCTAGAAACCCGATACATGCCACCAAAATCACCCTCTTCACTGTTTTCCTCATCTGGGTCGCCTAAAAAAGGCCTCTCGGATGCAGAATCAAACTCTTCTTCACCACTCACAAACCCGTTATCAATATTACTACCAGTACCACTACGACTACTACCAATGTCGCTATCAGAGGTGTCAGTTTTATAACCATCTGATTGAAAATCATCAACAGTTATAGGAGCTCGGATAGGGAGAAAACCTGCAGATGATGGTAGTGAAGGTGGTGTTCCTTGTGTTGTGGAAACAGGGACGTGGATCCTTGAGGCCATGGCTTCAAGTTCTTGTTTTTTATCAGTAAACACGGTATAACAACACACAAATAAATGCCAAAGGAAGGAAAATCTCTGGTCTGGTGAGGTAGGGCAAGGAGATAGGGTTGTGTTGGTGGGGAAGGAATAAGAGATAGGGTTTTTGCTCTTGCTGTTGTTTCAGGTTTGCCAAAGTGTGATGATGCCGTTTAACAACAGGACATGTGGATCCATTGCATGAGACGGGGGGCTTTAGGTTTTGTCTCTTTTGATGTTTTTCTTTGGTTTTCGTAGGTATCGTAATGTGTCGATCTTCAATTTTTAAAATATTTTTTATTTAAAAATATATTTAAAAAATATATTTTTATTTTCCCCAATTAATATATCAAAATAATTTAAAATAAAAAAATTTAAATGTATTTTTTAAACATAAAAACATTATGTTTGTTTTACTTGATTTATCAATTTGAAAGTGTTTATAAACAATTTTTATTTTTTTAAAATAAATTATTTTCATATATAATTTTAATAAATTTAATGTATTAATATTAAATATATATACATATATAATAAAAAATTATTGTAAAAATTATTTTATAAAAATATATAACACCGTATTACATAAGTTTACCAGCACAACATATACCTTATCTACTTGTGTGATCGTTACACAATTGAATTCCCAATTAAGATTTTCACCCACAAGTTTTCTTCTTCTGGTCAGCTTGGTTTCATGTTAGACCTTGATAGGTTTGTTCCTTCCTGAGTTTTTGAGGTTCGAATTTTAAAGTAATTACTTAAAAACAAATTCTATTTTTGAGGCATCAGTAGTTGGATTTTAAAATATTTTTTATTTAAAAATATATTAAAATAATAATTTTTTATTTTTTAAAAATTATTTTACAAATAAATACATTAAAATGATTTAAAAAAATTAAAAAAATTAATTAAAAATAAACAAATAAAACAAAAATAATGTTTTTAAAACACAAAATGCAAAAACAATCATTAAGTGTTCAGAAGATAATATTACTATGTATTTTAGAAAATAGTATAAATTATGTTTTTTAATAAAAAAAATTTATATATTTTTAAAAGTTTTTAATATATTAATATTAAAAATATTTTTTAAAAATAAAATAAATTTATTTTAACACAATTTTAAGTGAATTTTTTTTAAAATTATCATCATTACTATAATCTCAATCACAATTAAATTAAAAACAGTTGGAACGTGTTTTTTTTTTGTAATTTTTGAATTTTTTAAATAAAATAATTTTTTTATATTTTTTAATATTAAAAAATAAATTCTAAAAAATAAAAAAGTAAATTATTAATTTTTTAACATTTTAAAAAATATATATTAAAAAAGCAACTACTTCAGACACTCTGGAACACTACCCAGAGATCTTTATCGCCGCGCCAAAAGAAAGATTAATGGTCGAACAAACAAAAGAAAAAAGAAATGGTAAATTCCCAAAGGAAAAACTCCAGGGTTGTCCAAACAGCCCCCTATCGTATCCTGAAGATTTTTAATTAAATTAAGGGCCCCTTCATCTTCAAAGACATCAAATTTAATTTTAGTCACAGCATTACAAAGCAAAACATTCGATCATAGCTTATATTTAGTATCAATTCTATTTCGAATTTTATGGGTCAGATGATTTATTATTTTTTTAGGGGAACAATCTTTTTTAAAATAACGTTGGATTATTATTTAGAGATAAAAAAAATCAGCATTAGTTCCTGCATTAATTTTTTTTATTAAATATAATAGTGTTTATAAGTATGATAATTATTATTTTTAAAAATATTATTATTTTTAAAAAATATTTTTTAACATCAACAAATCAAAACAATAGAAAAATACTAATAAAAATTATTTCAAAACATCACAAAATAGCACAATTTCAATAATAAAATCATACATTTCATCATCCATCACATTCTATGGAAAAACACTATCGGAAAAAAATACAAAAATATCCGGTAGACCTGAAAATAAAAAATATCATTGCCAACCATTTCTGAGATATCTCATTATCATCTCATTCCCAAAATTTTCCAGCCTTATTATTCCTCTTTGTTCCCTTCCCTCGTCTTTATTCTTCTAACTTACCTCTTTTTATTTCTCTAAAAGTTTTCATTGCTAGACTCATTCAACCAAAGGTCATTGTCATCGATTAATAAACTCATTCATCAAAGCTTTGTATTGTTTTTTTTTTTTGAAAATTGAAATCGTATATTCCTGAACTCTTTCTTCATTCATCTTCAAGTTATATTAAATTCAACGTAGATTTCTATATGATGTTTCGAACATTTCTTTACTATTTTATTTGTAGAAATAAACAATAGATTTGTGTTAGGAAAATTCAAATAAAAGAAGAGTAACGGTGAGTTTCTTCCTTATTTTCATCTTAAAATTTATTTTAATTATCTATAAATTTTAATTTCTATGATTCTCTATTATTTTTGTTTTTATTGTGATTAATTGTTAATGTCATTAATTAACTACAAATTGTTGCACTCATATGCAACCTGTTCTTGAAAATAAATGATTTTTTTATATATTTTTTCTTTGTTAAAATTACTTATATGTTTAATTAATTTATTAACATAGATTTTGTCTTGTCTGCTCTAAAATGGGTTTCCTTTAGTTTGGCTAAGTTCTAAAATGGGTTTCCTTTAGTTTGGCTAATAGTTGGATTTAATTGATGGATCTTTATTTTCTTTTTGTATATAATTAGAAAAAAGTGTAATATTTTGTTTTGTGAGAATTGAATTAAGGTGTTGTATAATTAATGAACTTTTAAAGTTTTTTATTAAATTAATCATCTTATTTGTAATAAACAAAAGTTATGAATTGTAGAATGAATTTTATTTGTAGACAGCAATGTTGAAAGTCTTGAATTTGATTTGTAAAAAGTTACTATATAACTGTGATGCTAGCTCTGATATATGTTTCTTATGCTTTTAGTTTCATATTAAGGGAAATAAAAAATCTAGAGCCATCAAAAACTTAAATATAATTGAAACTTACTTTTAAAAAATTAATAGGAATCATTGTTGCTCCAATAATAACCCTAACAAATAAATAAGATAGTCAATTTCAAAACTTGAAATCCAATAAGTAAAAAGTAAGGGAAAAAAAAATTAAATTTCATTGTTGATTTTTACAGTAAACAAGCATATAACTTACCTATAGTCATTTTTATAATTATCCATCATAACTTGTTGTTTTTTGTTTTGTTTTGTCTTATAAATTATTAAAATTATATTGTATCAACACCTCATGTTTTCAGTTTTTCTTAAAAAAGGGTTATTAAAGTGTGATTTATTGAATATATTCAATAAACTAAAGTGTTCCACAACATGCATTTTACACTTTTTAGTTTTTCTTATTATTTATAATAAGTATTTTGTATTTGTGTTAATGCAATCTTTTTCATATAAAAATGATATCATTGTTTGTTTCTTTTTATTAAATGTTTTAAAATATATAATAGAAGATCTTGAATTTATAGATAAGACTGCATGGACAAAATAAATGTTGCATAAATTTTATAACCTATACATTAAGGTTATTAGTATGAGAATGAGACCTAATACTTATTTTGATAAAACAGGATGAAAATTTCATATATCATCATTTAAAGAACAAACTGATGATGCATTCACTAAAACATAACTACAAAACAAAAGGGATGGATGAAAAAAGAATTAGAGAATATGGATAAAGCTGATTTCTAAAACTGATATGGGTTGCAATAGTGAATTAGGAATAATTCCAGCTAACGATGAGTGGTGAAAAATGAAAATTGAGGTTAATTCCTCATGATTCTAATAATTTTATTTATTGTTGTCAGATTTCATAAATTTTTTATATACATAATGTTGCATTAATTATTTTTATTTCTTTTATGTAGGAAATTAGAAGAGCAAAAAAATTTAGACATGCTAGTATTGAACCGTTTTCAAAGATTAAATTTAACATAATATATTCTAACATTATTAATATTGGAGAGTATGTAGGGGCTCTATTATCAGGAGTACTTGGTGAAAAATGATATCGATCTTGACACAAGCAATGACAACATTGATAGTGCTGATTTAGAAGAAGGAAGCGATGATTCAAAAGAGGATGAGATTCTAAATTTGAAGAATGACATGTCTCAAATGGTTGGAAAGGTGAATGTGTGAAGCATTAGCAATACAAAGAGTAGTAGTAAAAGAAAAGAAAAAGATCCTTCTGAGGTTCGAGGTAGAAAGAAAAAGATGTCTGTAATTGGTGTTTAACTGCTATCAAGGTAAGATTAATTACTTCGGAGTATGTCGACTAGAAGTGACTCTGCATCTTTGTATATGGATTGGCAAGGCTGTAATATTCTTGAGGTGATGGCTGAGCTCCATTCAATTCTTGGAGATTTAATTGATGATGATTTTCATGACTTTGCTATAGAGTATCTGAGTTTAAGAAAGAAAAAAGAAATTGGGTCTAGTATGGGTGGTCTTGAAGAGAAGTTGAAATGGTTAAAGTAAATGTATACACAAAGTAAACGTGCTTAACTAGCATGGTATGATTTTATTTTCTAAACATTAATTTATTAACTATGTTAAAGTGCTAGGTAAATTTAATGCGTTATGTTATTCGACATGCTTGATAATTTATTTATACATGTTTACATTTGTAGAATAATGAGCTGACAATTTGAAAAGAATAGTTTTCATTCGCAAAAGTTAGTTTCATTTATTGTATTATTCAACATTTGAATGTTGTTATAATTATGGACTTTTATGTGAGTTATCGAACTGTTGGTGTAAACCCCCAAATAAAAATTCACAACATTAATAAGGAAATTTTTTATAAAGTTGGGGTGAAAATATTTAGAAAAGTATTTAAATTTTTTTAAAATAAAAAATTAATGTATGGTTTTACACGAGAACAACTCTAACCATCAGTCTAAATCTGTATATAATCACGTAGTTTTTAACTCGGAAGGGAGTTATTATTTTTTAAAAATTGTTATAGATGGAAGTCCCCACTGAATTGTTTAAAATATTGATGATGTAAGAAAATAAAACATTGAAAAATTCAGATTTTGGCTTAAAAATTACTAACAATATAGTTTTCCACTATTGAACATAATTCTCAATCCGATCATTAGATCGAATTAAAATTTTACACTAAAACATAGGACTAAAACTTTCATAAAGAGTTCAAGATGTAAAAGAGTCATTTTCAAGTCCAAATTGTAGT